CAGCATAATGACATTAAGAATGTTTGAACACCTCTTACAAAAGCCCAATGAGCACATCCTGTACAACCTGGTCTTAAGAAATCTTGAAGAAAGAAATTATACAGAATATAAGCCTCTGTGTCCCGAAGATAAAGACGTGGTGGAGAATGGATTGATAGCAGGAGCAGTGTAAGGCTTTATCCAACTCATTGTCTCTCTCCTCTTCTGCCTGTCTCTCAGTTTTCAAACTCGCAAACAAGTTTAAAATCTCCCACAGTTTAAAAGATTGTCGTAAAAATGAAATGTGCATGCCCTAGTACTACGATCTTTTAAATGAAAACGGATTAGTGTATTCATATACTCAGTATTGGTACGAAGTGGGGCTTTGTCCACAGAATGCAAATACGCCTCCCCCTTTCTCGGTGTCTTATCAAAATGATGCCATGCTCTCGGGGAGCGTGGCAGAGAGACATTTGGTTTGGGAAATGCCTTAATAATGTGGGTTTTCTTTGTGCGTGGTTAATTTAAACATAGCGACTTGGAGGAAGATCCACTGTTTACCGATATGGCACCAGAAAACTCTCTGCCAAACCAAGAGTGGCTGAGCTCTTCACCCCCTCCGACGCCCGACCACCCCAGGACAGATGGGAAAACCGAAGTCCACAAAATTGTCAACAGGTGAGTTGTCATCTCAAGAGGACTGCTCTTCTTGTACTTTGTTTTATAAGACAAAAGAACTCAGCCCTTAGATCATTACATAAGCCACCTGCTTACATTGTGAACTCAATGGAAGTCTTTCCTTTAATCTAGCTGTTCGTCAACCACCTCTCGGTTATGTAGCAAGTGACAGCCTGGGGACATAGGCGATCCAAAGCAGAAACTCTCTACCATGTATCGAATATGAGCCACGGGCAGTGGCTAAATGAGCCTTTCATAGTATCTACATAAAACAACTGAACAACAAGTACTTCCTAATTGAGAATTGCTAGTTTGGCAAATTGTACTTCTATGTTTGCACTCCTATATGCTAAGCACATGACCTTTTGTGTCCGTTTTCTGGTTAAAGTGTGTTTGTTTTCTTGGAAGAGTGCTGTCTCTCTCACTGTCTGAGCAAAGCTGTCACTGAGAGGCCTGGTCTGGCACGTGTCGTTAGAGAAAATTGCATGTGGCTCAAAATGCTCAGTTAGGCTGCATAGAAATCTCAACTTTAATGACTTACCAGCTAGATTCCTGAGATTAACAACTGTCCTGGTTATCTGTCCTAAAGAGATAGAAAAGAAACCCTGGCGTATGCTCATTTTACTTCCACTTGAAGTTCCATGAGTGGTTTATCATAAAACCTGTCATTAATGAGAGAGTGTCTACTCCACGGATGATAACACTGACTCCGGTCAGTGCTTAATAACAGAGACTTTGTTGGGAAGTTCCATTTGCTTTCCTACTTGGGTAAGCGCACGGCACCCCCAGGCTCTGATTCGTGTAAAGACCTGACTGAGCTGTGAGCGCATCTAGTGTGCTATGTATCATGGATTCGGTTTCCATTTCAGTTTTCTCTGCCT